CATAAACGTTCCCCTTTGCCCAAGATGGTTGCTCACTTTACAGAAATGCTGCAGGAACCAGAAGCGGCGATTTGTTTTTCAGCTCTATCCTGACACGGACTACATCTGACTCCTATAGCTGCATGCCTAAGCTTAGGGCAAATTCTAATTCTGTCCATTCAAAAGCAGCCCAGGAAGACAATTGCCAAGTGGGAAAGTGATGAGTAGTTCTGTTGCAATCTCACAGCATTGAGCAACACACATTTGAGCCCACGCGCATACCACAGCATCACCTCTCAGAGAGCTACTTCTCTGATGCACAGCAGCAGGATCTCACCCAGAGAAACACATGAACACGTGCTACCTCTTCCAGAGCCAGCACCAATGTTTCTCAAGCCTTGCCAGAGGCTTCTTCCAGCCTTCTAACCTCCACCCCTGTCCTCCCTTGCAGCTTGTTGTTTCAAAGAGCAGTGGTGTGAAAAAACAGGAAGCCATGCAGAAAAGAGAAAGAATACAGATAGAGGCATGAAACTGCAGCAGCAACAGCTCCCCCGGCACGCACCCCACCTCCTCCTCCCTTCCCACCCCCTTACCACAGGCCACGTTTTTGGTGAGAAACACTGTACTTTTGCTCTTGACGGGAAACTGGTTACGGAGCTGCATGGCCAGAGACCCACTGCAGGAGGGGAAATCCAGCAGCGTGAAGGAAGTGCTTCTCACTTGATTCTGCAGGTTTGGGGAAGGAGATGGGAGTGTGGCTGATATCAAGACAGGCAGAATAAACCCGCAGGTTGTGGAGTATCAGAGACCTCCAGTAAGACTGCTACACTTTGCTGTCAGCTCAAGTCCTGGCATCTGCTGTTGTGGCAGAAGAGGCAGGACTGCATGCAATCTGCTATTGCAGAGGAGCAGTGGGTCAGTTTGTTAGTGGCTCTGCATTCATGGCTTCCCCAGTCCACTCTCTGTTGGCAGCTTCTATCAACGGGTTCCTCTTTTATTGGAGCCTTCATTGTCTGCACCCTTATCGTTTCAGGCTGAGAGATGAAAATGGTGAGGATGAGAAAACATCAGCGAGAGGCAAAAATACAGCAGCAGGGGAGAGAAATGCCAAGCAAACCCCTGAAAAACAAGTAAATGCTGTGGCTTCCACATCATACAAGGTATTTTCAATGTTATCTCTGCACATAACGCCTTCTATTTTTATGCCAATCAATTTAGTGGATAAAAGGAAAAGAAGCAATGTCACAAGAATCCTGCTGCTGCAAAGATGGGAAAGTAAACAAATATAGCCAAGAACCACCTGGACCAGCATTTCTGAAGACTGATGCTCAACATTTCAGTAAATGCAGGTGGGATAAACATGCACAATCTGAGCCATAGCAGGTAACAGTTCACAATAAGAAGCCATGAAATAACCCAACAATCCCATACTGCATGACAGCTCAGGGTCAGATATGGCACTTAACACTAGGACACTGGCACAGCATCTTTCCACTCTGCACTTGGCTTGGATTCTGACAATTAATTCTCCTACACGTGCACTAATTCAGCACAGTGCATGGACGAACTGCCTTTCTTTTCCACTACATGGTGACATATAGAACCATTATTTCAGTCACTCAAAATCAATAAGGGAAAGAAGCGAAGACAGATGTGAGATGATATAATGGAAAGGAATGTAACAGTCTGATACCCACTGGTGGGAAAGAGGAATGTAGTATTTTTATAGCCATTCTCAAAGACTTTGTATTGCTTGCAAAGGGATATGCTGTGCTGTGGTTTATTTATAAAACCAATAAGAATGTTGACCGAAGAAGAAACTTGAAGAAAAATAAGCAGAGGTTGAGTTTTCTAAACACAGTCACAAACTCAAGAGAAAGGAGCTCACCAGTAAGATCCTTCACTACAAGTGGGATGCAAAACACAGGAGAGGCCCCAGTACTTCAGAGCTGCTAGAAAAGCCATGCAAACCATGAACAATCTCCCTGATTTAAATGCAGTCAGAGCTGTAGCTTTCTATTCCAACCACAGAAGCAAGAAGGCTGTGCACGAGTGCCTGAACAAGACTGAGGGAGATTCCCAGCACCTCACTGTGCTGGCACCAACTCTTCCTGTGCTCTTAGACTGTTTGTTCTGAATTTTCAAATTACTAATGAGAAGAGGAGCTCCTACAAAGAGTGATTCAGAGCAGGGACTTCATCTAAATGATCTGAATCATCCCTTGGAAGAGACCATCCCTGCTTACAGTTGAAGGATCTCTGGAGAAAGGAGCCTGCTAGAACAGATGATTCACTCTGTGGCAATCACACCAACACATTCCTGCAAGAGACCTAGCTTTGCCAGTGGAAATGTGCCTCTTTTATTCACAGTTGCCTTAAGTGACAAAACAGGAGAAATAAGGAGTGTGAAAGGGGGAAAGCACAAAGTCCCTACCAAAGCAGTCTGCAATCCTAATAATTGGTCCATAGATATCTTTCCCACTGTGTGCCCTACTGTTCTCACAAGGAATGCAGTACGTTCTGCCTACATCTATTCGAATTCATCCATAATGGCCATCGCTTTAAGAAAAATGAACCAAGCCCAAGATAACAGGGAATGCTGCTGGGAACGAACCACTGCAGCTGAACATCCATTCCTATCTGCCTTTCACACCCCTCCTACACATCCTCCCCGTTTCATTTTCTAGAAGAGAAGGAGATGCAGTTATCATCACTGAAGACCATTGCAGCCTCACTGACAGCAGTCCCCAGCCTTGGTGTGCTGGTACAAACGCACCATCTAGTGGCAAACACAAACGGGAAAGCTGTAGAACCAATAAAGCACGAACATAACTCCTAGCAACGTGAACAGGTCGCCAGAAATCCGATCCCTTTAAGAGCCCCCAGGCCCTAGCAGCAGGCACGAGGGCAGAAGATCACTCTGAACTCACCATCCTGACACAGCATGCCATATACTGCAGCAGGTGTGTGACTCCACTTCAGATTTGAGAGATTTGAGAGCTACTGAGCACCTCATGAGTGGGCACAGAGCCTAGAACCACCAGCACTGAGCCTATACAATCCAATTCATGCACAAACTATCTCTTGCTTCAAGAGGAGCAATGGGGAAAGACGGAGCTTTACAAATCCAGCCTTATCCATGTGTTTGGTGGGCACACATAGGAGACAGCACTCGCAACAGAGAAGGCAGAGAGCAGCCCCTGATGGAGGGGAGAAATAACCATCACTTACCCAATCCATGCCCTGCCAGGTAACCACTGGACCACGCAGAGCTGTGCTCCAAAAGCAATCCCAAATCCAAAAGATAAATCCAAAAAGACAGGGGTAGACCTCCGTAGAGGGGAACAGAAAGCATAAAACACAGGAGCTCCTCCACCCACACCCCCATAGAAGCTTCTGGGCCTCATTAGTGTGGATGGACTGCAGCTGCCAGGGCCTGAGCAGGGCTGCTGACACCTGTGCTCGGCAGCAGCGAGCTGGGGAAAACAGGCACAGCCCCTCCAGAAATGCAATCAGCTCTTGTTCTCCTTTCTTGTGTGTGCAGGCACTCTGCTCAGGTCTCTCTTGGCAGTCCCAGCTCCACAGCTTCTGTGCACAATTGCACGACAGAGGTGGCTCAGCCCATGGCCCACAGGTGCCAGCAAGCAAGGAGCAGACAAAAGCCCTCAGGACAACTTAGGGGAGCCCTGACAAGGAGGGGGAAAGGGCTGCTCCTCCTTCTTTTCTCCCAGCATGTCACCCAGCGATGTGAAGTCATGCTAAGTGGCAAGGAAACACAACTCAGCTGGAAAAACAAGGTGAGAAGCACACGCACAAACACCAACTTTCAGAAACTCTTCTTATTTTCGTAATTGTGCACAGTGGAATTAATGACTGTCCAGAGGTCAAACTTCATACCCCAAACGCAGCAGCGGTAGTTTCACAAACGTGCATTATTCATGTATGACCTAAACCACAACAGGGACCAAAACACTTCTCCAGAACAAAACTCTACAGGTCTTTGTTGTCCTTACATACAGAACGACTGCCAGCTTCAGCATGCAACAGTTGTTTCATTGCCTTCATTTAAAGGCAACGTCCGGAATAATTTCTTAAGTACAAGAAAATGCAAAATACAAACTGCAAATCTGGGTTTAAACCCCAACTTCTCTAAGGATGAACAAAAAATCAGTTCCAAGTGCTTGCTGAAACCATGAGCTCCTACAAGGAGTATTGAACAGTTCATAAAACATCAGTATGACAAAGTGCTGGCTCTGCACAAACTGTATTTGAACTTTTCCTTAACAAACCGAAATACAACACTTACTGGAAGCATACTTTGTCCCTGAGCCTTATTTTTAGGGGGAAGCACAGAAATGACTCTGAAATTAAAAGGGAAAAACATCCTCATAAAACAGAGCATCACTTAGAAGGAAAATGTTAAGAACAAATGTGTGCAAACATCTGTAAGAAGCAGCAATATAAAATAAACCCTGGCTGTATACAAAACTTCATATTGCTCTGCTTTAAATACAAAGCAATCAGATTCCCAGCATTACTTCAAAGATCTTTGTGGGTTGGTTATTTTTTTTCTCTATCAAACTGAAAAGTACATATACCATTTGTATATGTATATACAAAAGCTTGAAATGAAAGCTCAAGAATGACTTAATGAGTTTAAGGACACTTGCAAAAATATTGTGCCTGTAGCAAAGCCAAATTTCACTTGCACAAGGACTGGCATCCCTTTGCTTCTATGTACTTCCAGATTCAACAAGACAACACACAGGTGAGCCTGCCAAAGCTCTGCAGCCCCCTTTAGGGTGGTCCTAAGGCTCAAACACCAATAAATCTGAACTGACAAATGGCTGTAGTGCAGATATCTCACAGAACAGCTCCGTGAAACACGGCAGCACATCTCAGCCACTGCAACGCAACGGGGCTCTGCTCAACCAACAAGGATCTTCCAGACCAATCTTCTGACGGATGGGGCCTCTACAAGTCGCATCACCACGAAAATGGGCAGGACGGAACCTGGAAGCCTCAGGGCAGCACCGGGGCCCTGCTGGCAGCCAGAGGGCGGTGGGAGCCCGGCTCGGGCGGGCACTGGACAGCAGCAGAGGCGACGCCGGACAGCGGCCAGGCGGGCTGCAGCGGGGACGAAGCCGAGCTACACGCGGGCAGCGCTGGGTTCGGCCCCGGGATCCAGGCGGGCAGCGCTTGCGGGGACTCCGGGCAGCAGGGCGTGCAGCAAGGCGGGCTCCAGGCGGGCGGCCCTCGTTGGCAGCCCGGGAAGCAGGACGGGCTCCAGGTGAGCAGCGCTTGTCGGGCACCGGAGCGGCAGGGCGGGCTCCAGGCGGGCGGCTCGGAGCAGCGGCAGCCGCGGGGCAGAGCGGGGCGGGCAGCGCACGGACAGCAGGGGAGCGGCGGCGGAGGTTGGATCGAGCGGCGGCGGCGGCGGCGATCGCCCCCCGGGAACGCGTCCTGGAAAGCGGGATCCAGAGCCCATTCGCCGCCGCGGTGCGGGGCGCCGGAGCGGCGGGGCAGGCGGAGGAAGCAGGGGTTGAGGCTGAGGTTGTGGCGGATGCCGTTCTGCCAGCCCTTAGGGCCGCGGCGGTAATAGGGAAAGCGGCCCGAGACGTAGCTGTAGATGCCGCTGAGCGGCAGGCGCTGCTCGGGGCTGGCCCGAATGGCCATGGCGATGAGAGCCGCGTAGGTGTAAGGCGGCTTCTGCAGGGCCGGGCTGCCCGAGGGGAGCTGCACCTCGTCCCCCATGGCACCGCCACTTCTGTCCCTCGCGCTCCCCCAAGCCCTTTTCCTTCCCTCCCCGCCCCATCCCCGGAGCGGCTGGGGGTCGCGGGCGGGTCAGGACGGCGCGTTCCCTCGGCAAACCCAAGCGCGGCAGAGGGCGAGGGCGGCAGGTGCGGCGGGCAGCGCGGGGGCACGGGGTCACAGGGGGGAACGCGGGGCTGGGGCCGTTCACCTCCGGGCACATCGGGGCCATCGAGCCGCACGCCGGGATTCGTGGATTCAGATCCACGCCGGGTCCGTTCGCCACCCGCAGCAGCTGAGCAGAGCGCAGCGCTGCCGCCGCCGGACACCCGATGTGTCCAGGTGTGTCTGTAAAGAACTCCCGGTTGGACGGCAGTTCCCTGCCTTAGCCAGTGATTACTGGTTAATAAGCCCTCCTTTCTTTGCTCGCTGTTAATAAATGGATAAACGAACTCACGGCTCACTGGTCTGAGTGGCACCAATTCCTCTTCTCCAAAAGTTGTAGCACAGAGCTGAGAAGAGAAGGAAAATGCTCAGTCTGTCATTCTCAGCTTACATGCATACGAACGTTCCTCTTGGGTTTCTCACTGACTGTACGTGTTTGGAGGATGACTGGAGCAGGACAAAGCACCTGCATTCAGAGTCCCTTTATTCCACCTTCTGTCTGCCAAAATACAGGGAATCCTGTGTGGTTTTGTGTGAGATGATACCAGGCCACCCTACAGCCATCAGTCAAGATCAGGGCTCCAAGGGAACTGGAACACTAAAGGCAGTCCCTATCCTCTGTGAGCTCAAGACAGCAACGCTTTACAGAGGTGCAGCAGCACCTGAGAAGTTACAGCAGGAGATGACTTTGCTTTAGCTGAAGGAAAGCTTTCAAAGTGTAACACTTTTCATTTCAGAACTCATCAGAGCAAAGAGATCAAAGCTAATCTGACCACAGACACACACACGAGCCCAAATAGCATCTCCCTGCCCCCCAAAAAACAGCTCCCCAAGAAATAAAATCATTATAAGGTGAAAATTTTTTCCAATTTTATTTTTTAAAGAAAAATATTCCTCTTTAAACACAAAGTATGAACTAAAAACCTCCGAGGAACAGTTTCTCCCCCTGGAGTACAATTTAACTAAACTGTACAGTGTCAGAGCTCCCCAAACAAGTACACATACAAGACATACAGCGTTTCTGTCACAGGAAATAAAGTTTAGGACTCAAAATTGTCCTCCACACCCTCTCTAGATACCAATTCCATTCAAAACAGTGATGATTACTCTCTGTTGCAATGTGCATATATTCACGTACATATATACATACACACACACGTGTGTATGTATATATATATATAATTAAAATTTAACTCTCATTGGCCAAACTGGCCCTTTGTAGCCTTCTAACAGATGTGTGTGATAGAGGTTAAGACCACAGTTATTTCCTGGAATGGTACTTGGAAGAAAAAGAACATAGCAGCATCCACAGGCAACGCAAGCCCTCCATTTCAGCTGCCTTGTTTAAAGGAACCCAGGCAGTTCAGCAGCATTTAAAGATGTTCCCACTACCCAAGAAGAGAGTGAGAACAAAACATTCACAAGCTGAATTTGTTGCTTGAGCAGACAGGCAAAATTCCAGTGAATCTGGCCTATGGATGCCAGCAATAAGTTTTACCACTTTGCCACAGTGACCAACTTCATGTCTAAGCTTTTAGGTAAAAGATGTGATGACTTTCAGAAATCAGCAACTCGTTCCATCCATCCCATCAAATAGGTGTGTGTATAACATCTATGGCATCTGCCAAACCGAACCCAGGCTGCAGAGCTGGAACAAGGTTCTAGAATCCAAATCCTTCCTAATTCAGAACAACAAAATCATTAAAAGTCTTTGCCAAGTCTCATAACATAACCAACAAGCCCACACCCAAAGAAGTACAAGTTCCGAGGAAGGCAGAGAATGGAAATGGAGCTCATTTATGTTCCACCTTAAGATTGATTGTGGTTTTTATTAAGTAGCACTAAAATCTTTATCAGACAGTCCATTTCATAACGATCTTTTCAGTTCCAAACACTCCAACAGTTTTTTACAGTAGGAAAAACATTAGAAAAATAAAATTTCACCCCCAAACAACACTGTATGAAGATCAGCATCACCAGTCAACAATATTTTACAGGGGAACCAGATGATCTTTCCTCTCCTCCAAACCAGCTTCATACAGAAAACAGCAGCAAGATAGACACAGTATCTAGGAGCTAGATTAAGGCCAACAATATAAAGACAAACGTGGGTTCAGATCTTTCAAAATGAAGAAACCCTCCAAATGTTGTCATACATATGCACACACACACATACACACATATACTCTTGTGTACTACTCAAGCAAAGGCTTCACATCTGTGAAAGCACCACTAGAGAGTATTCTAGCACCAGAATGAGAAAGTTGGTTGTCTTCCCTCTTCAGCAATAAAATCCAAAGTCTTTATATTGCTTTGGACAAGGTCTCCAAATGCTCATCTAAGAACAGCTTCAGTGAGTGGATTCAGAAGTGCAGTAACAGCTTAAAGCGTTGCTGCTCTGGGCAACAAGAGGTGCATTCAGAGGGTGCAGCTCCTTCGTTGCTGGAAAGGAGGGGAATTTCTATATTGCAATCTGGTAGAGACAGAGACCAACTTGGGCCCCAGGTGAGTGTGATGGTAAATGAACTCAGCGCAGACTGGGAGGTGAAAGTAGGAAGTTTGCATACATGAAGTCACAGTGCACTTCTGTCAGCATAATAAAAAGCAAAACCACTGTATTTTCTGGCAGGCTTGTCTCTGCATAGGCAGCCCCTGGGTATGCTGGAAGTCAGGACAAGGATCCACAAATGGGATGTCACACATTACACCTGGACAACATCAAATGCAAACAGCACAGGTCTAAGGAGAAGCTTCTATGTTGGTTTGCTAGCATCTTGCCTATACACATGCTTGTGTGAGCCTGCACAAGTCTATAAAGGGGATAAAAAGCTCATAACAGCAACGCTGTGGGTCAGGTTCAGCTATAAGTAACAATTCATGCAAGTTACAAAAGAATTAACCATCAACCCGCAGCACATCCAGTTATTTGTGCTGCAGGTATTTATCCTGGATCTACACCTCTGCACAGGGGTGCTGGCACTCAGGTCTCTGCAGTCTCTCAACGAGTGCATGGCCAGAGGTCTGTCCTCTGCATGTAAGATGCAGAGTAGGCAGCAACTGGCCTCACTAACAAGGGAGGATGGGGAGCAGTGGCTGGAAGTGGGCTGCTAAAACAGTGCAGGAAGAAATGGAAGAGACAAAGAGAGGTTTAGTTTTGCAGAGCTTGAATCAGCAGCAGTAAAGCCCTGCTCACTTTGTTACATGGTAAGGGCCTGGCTCATGTGAGGGACTAAGTGAGGCTGTGGTAGGATCTCAATAAAACATGCAAGTAAAAAAATTAAGTGAAAGGAAGGGTGATCATCACTCCAGGGTGTGAATTTCAGGGTAGGGCAGAGAATTATCAGCAGAGAGATGCTGTGTTTCTGTGCACGTGCAAGAGTGCAATAAAGGGAACAAAATCAGGACCAAGAGGAAGACACAGGAAGGTTAACTGTAATTCAAGATGCAAACACAGGACAATGGGATGAAGAGAAAGGAAAGAGAAAGGATATTTGAGGTAAAGGAGACCAAAGGAAGAGACAATAAAAAAAACCTCTTAACAGTGTGAGTCCTGTTTCAGAAAATACACAGCTAATATGCCAGTTGGCTCTCTTTTCACCAGGTATCCTTGGCATGTTGGTAGTTCTCCTCTCTGTATTTGGGATTTAAGAATCAAGGCATAAAGATTGCTTTTTTGTGTTTTTTTTGTATTAAACAATTTTGAGTGCTCAGCACGATGCTCTACATGGCCCCTGAACTCTAAGGCATGCTGATGACTCACCCAGAAGTGGAAGCACTCAAATTACAAGCGGCATTTGAGAACCTAACGCTACTTTCTTTGGATTAGAAAAACTATCTTTCCAGAAAGCTGCACTGTCCAGAAGCAGATCTGGCATCTCTCACTAAGAGCACCTTGGTATTTATTTATGAAATATCTTAAATAATTACTTTGCAAATCCCAGTATCAGATAGAGGAGCCAGTTTAACACAACGCATACAGTCAGACAGCTCCTCAAGTACCTCCCAGCAGATACATGCAATTTACAGCAAGAACAAGCTATGCAACTCCTGCTTCAGTGAAAACACCACAGCTGGAGTTGGGAGCTAAAGCCCTTCAAGTGGGGATCCCTTCTTATTACAAGAAATTAATGTCTCCTACACAAAATAAAATTTAGGTTTTGTCTTTCTAATGCAGACCACAAAAGGATGCCTGTTTTGGACTTGTACATCCCTACAACAGCACTGGTTGGAGGTATGCACCAGAGAAGTTTCTGGGAACCAATAAGATCAGAATGGGAGTTGGTGAGAGTAGCCTCAGGGCAGAGCCTGGCTGGAAGCACACGGTCATATAAGATGCAAGAAATATGACAGAGCAGTCAGGGTAACCAATGTGATCAGGCAAGCTTACGACAACCAAAGAAAAGTTCATGGATAATTGAGAAGAGAGTGTCAAAGGAAAGGGAAAAGAGGAACCACTGACCAAAGAGGCTGAGAATGCTGTTACTGTAGACAAAGCCCAGCACCAACTACTATGCCGTGTCCTCCTCAGCTCATTTGTTCTAATTCTAGTTTTAACAGCACCGTCAGCATGAGGTTAGTATGTCAGGACAAAGAGCTGAGGGGACATTCCTTACAGTGCAGCTTACACCTTTTCAGGCTCATGTCTCAGATCAGTTCATTTGAAAGAAAGAGTATGGAACATTTGAACAGCCTCTGGCTTTGAACTAGGGCTTTCTGAGAGTTCTGCTCACCTCCAGGGACAATCCTGGAAGTGATGGCAGCAGCCAATAGGGTTCCTTGTCATGACAGCTGACTAAACAGTCGTTATAAAAACACAAAACAAAGAAAACCAACAGCAT